TTGATTTGCACATGTTGAACCATCCTTGCATTCCTGGGATGAAACCCACTTGATTATGGTGAATGATGTTTTTAATTGTTGTTGGATTCTGTTTGCTAGTATTTTGCTAAGGATTTTTGCATGTATGTGCATTAGGGATATTGTCCTGTAGTTTTCTTTTTTTGTTGTGTCTTTTTTTAGTTTTAGTATGAAGGTGATGCTAGCTAGCCTCATAGAATGAGTTTGGAAGTATTCCCTCTTCTTCAATTACTCAGAAGAGTTTGAGAAGGATTGGTATTCTTTAAATGTTTGGTAGTATTTGGCAATGAAGCCATCTGGTCTTGTAGTTTTCTTTGTTGGGAGACTTTTTATTAGTGCTTGAATCTTATTATCATTATTGGTCTGTTTAGGTTTTCCAATTCTTCATGATTCAACCTGAGCAAGTTGCACGTGCCCAGGATTTATCCATTTCTTCTATGGTTTCCAGTTTGTTAGCAAATAGTTGTTCGTAATAATCTTTCGATCTTTTGTATTTCTGTAGTATCAGTTGTAATGTCTCTTTTTTCATTTCTCACTTTATTTATTGGAGTCTTCTTTTTTTCTTTGTTAGTCTAGCTAAAGGTTTATCAATTTTGAAAAATCTTTTTGAAAAACATTTGTTTCATGGATATTTTGCTTTTTAAAAAAAATCTCTAATTCATTCATTCCTCCTCTGATCTTTGTTATTTCTCTCCTACTAATTTTTGGTTTGGTTTGTTCTTGTTTTTCTAGTTCCTTGAGGTTGTTTATTTGAAGTTATTCTATTTTTTTGATGTAGCCATTTATTGCTATAAACTTCCTTCTTGGAACTGCTTTTGCTATATCTCATAGGTTCTGGTATATTGTGTTTTCATTTTCATCTGTCTCCAGGAATTTTTTAATTTCTTTTTTTTTTTTTTTGTCCTTTTTGAGACTGGCTGCACCGTGCTCAGCCAGTGAGCACTGTGAGTGCACCAGTCATCCCCATATAGGATCCGAACCCACAGTGGGAGCACCGCTGCGCTCCCAGCACTGCACTCTCCCGAGTGCGCCATGGGCTCGGCCCTTAATTTCCTTTTTATTTCTTCTTTGGCCCATTTGTTGTTTAGGAACATGTTGATTAATTTCCATGTAGCTTTACAGTTTTCAATGTCCTTCAGTTATTGATTTCTAGTTTTATTATGTTGTGGTTGGACAAGATAGTTGGTATGATTTCAATTTTTAAAAATTTGTTAAAATTTGTTTCATGACCTAACATATTGTCTATTCTAAAACATGTTCCATGTTCTGCTGAGAAAAGTGTTTATTCTGTGGCTGTTGGATAAATTAGTCCAGGATAGAGCTTAACTCTGATGTTTCTTGGTTAATTTTCTGTCTGAATAATCTGTCCTCTGCTAAAGTGTGATATTAAAGTCCCCAATTATTATTATGTTTGAGTCTATTTCTCCCATTAGATCTACTAGCATTTGCTTTATATATCTGGGTGCTTTGCTGTTGGGTATCTACGTAGAATTATTATATCCTCTTATTGAATTGATCCCTTTATCATTATATGACCTTCCTTATCTTTCTTTTACTTTCCTTGGCTTGAAGTCTGTTTTATCTGATAAAAATATAGCTACTTCTGTCCTTTTCTCATTTGCATTTGCATAAAATATATTTTTCCACCTCTTCACTTTTAGTCTATGTGTGTCCTTATAAGTAAAGTGAGTTTCTTTTAGGCAGCATATGGTTGGTTCCTGTTTTACAATCCATTCAGCCACATTATGTCTTTTAATTGGAAACTTAATCAATTTACATTTAGAGTTATTATTGATATATAGGGACTTATTAGTGCCATTGTTACTTTTTTTCTGGTTGTTTTGTAGATCCTCTTTTTGTTTTCCCAGTCTTACTGTCTTCATTTGTGATTAAGTGGTTTTCTTTAGCTATATATTTTGATTTCTTGCTATTAATTTTTAGTATGTCTATTATAGGTTTTTGTGTTATGGTAACCATGAGGCTTATAGAAAATATATTATAGATATAACAGATTATTTTAAACTAATAACAACTTAATTTTGATTGCTAAGGAGAAAAAACCAAAGCCATCTGTATGCTTTGACATTACTCTCGCCCACTTTTAAAAATTATGTTATTTCTAGTTACGTCTTTTAATGTTGCCTATCTCTTATATGGTGTTGAATTTGTTATTTGTTTATTGGGTTTGTCCGTTAGTTTTCTTAGAAAGGATATAAGCGGTTTATTCACTACCCTAACAACATTGGAGTATTCTGAGATTATCTATGTATTTACTACTTGAATTTTGTACCTTCAAATGTTTTCTTGATACACTTTAGTGTCATCTTTTTTCACCTTGAAGAATTCCCTTTAGCATTTCCTGTAAGGCAGATCTGATGTTGATGAATTCCCTTATTTTTTGTTTTTCTGAGAAGAACTTTATTTCTCTTTCATATTTGAAGGTTAATTATGATAGATCCAGCATTCTTGGTTGACAGTGTTTTTCCTTCAACACTTAGAATATATCATCCCATTCTCTCCTGGCCTGTAGGGTTGCTACTGAGAAATCTGCTGAAAACTGTATTAGAACTCCCTTTAATGTTATGTGGTTTTTTTTTATCTTGCTGTTTTCAGTAATCTTTCTTTGTCTTTGGTTTTTGATAATTTGATTATGATGTGCCTTAGGGTATTCCTTTTTGGACTGAATTTGACTGGTGACCTATGAGCATCCTGTACCTGAATGCTGTCATCTTTTTCTATACTTGGAAAATTTTCAGCCGTTATTTCCTTAAATATGCTTTCTAGGACTCTTCCTTTTTCATCTCCTTTGAGTATGCCGATTATAAAGAGGTTAATTTGCTTGAAGGAGTCCCATAATTGCTGCAATTCTGTTTCATTTTTTTTTTCTTATTCTTTTTTCTTTTCCCTCCTCTAGTTGGATAATTTTGGATGTTCTGTCTTCAAGCTTACTGATTCTTTCTTCTGTTTGATAAGGGTCTGCTGTTGGAGCTTTTTATTGAGTTTTTCAGTTCAGATAACATATTCTTTATTTCTAGAACTTTTATTTGCTTTTAAATATATTTGATTCTTTATCAAGTTTCTCATTCTGTTCCTGCATTGTTTTCCAAATATCATTTAATTTTCTGTATCTATTTTCTTGTGACTTTCTGAACATCTGTAAGAAGATTATTCTGGACTCTCAGTCAGATATTTCATAAATTCATTGTTCTTCTGAGTCCATTGCTGGTGCTTTGTTGGTTTCCTTTGCTGGTGTCATATTTCTCTGTTCTTTCTTGATCTTTGTGTCTTTACATTGATGCCTGCACATTTGAGGAGACAGCTACCTCTTCCAGGTTTTATAGGTGTTCTATGATGGTGTTAGATGTTTACTGCTCAAGGTCAGAACTCTGTCTCTGGGCTGGCTTTTTTCTGTTCTGTGATGTACTAATGACAACCACCACCACTTAACCTCTACAATGGAACTATTTTGCTGTCCTGTGGTTAATTCCCTGATTGTGGAAAGCTTTTAGTGGGGACCATAACTTGAACTCTGTGCCTGAGTTAAACTTCTGCCTTACTATTGTTTCTCAGACTGGGAGAAACTTTTTGTGTGGACTGGGTTTTAATTGCGAACCTTTCAGTGACTTCTGGATCATGTTGGGTCACCAGAAATGCAACTGGGATGCATGGAAAATCCAGCCCAGGACTGAGTCTTTCCTGCAAACTGTGCCCCTGCAGTTCTGCCACACTGACCAGCCTCCACTGTGTGGTACTAGTGCTGACTGGAAAGCAGATCAGTTGCCTACACTGTTCCCATCATGATGCGCCTCTGGTGGATCAGTTCTCCACCCCCAGAACTGCAAACATGTCTTGTGGGGAAGACCCAGCATTAGTCCCCTGCAAAGATTCACTGACTTCTGGCTAATTCCTTCATCTTGTTGGCTGTGTCCCCTTTCTTCTATGCAGGTGCAGGGGAAGCTTTCAAGAAGCTTTGCTGGCTTGGGAACTGGGATGGTACACTCTGAAGTGATACATACATACATACATATATATATATATATATACACACTTTTTTTTTTTTGCCAGCAGTCATGGCACCCTTCTCCCCTGCAGAGTCCAAGTAGCTTCAAGCAAAGGGCACTGCTACAGTTTTGCTGTCTCCAGGTAGCTGCATCATGTACTGGTGGCTGCTTTGTGTGCTGTGCCATAGTGGCCAAGGGAACATCTGAGGCTGGGTCTCGCTGGGGACCCCACTCGCCATGCCTTTCCACACTTACACAGACTCAACACAATTCTCCTCCTCTTCCCCCAAGTTCCACTGATTTCAGGATGGTAGTTTTGTGTTTTATTAGTTGTAAGTTGATCTCTTGTAGGGGGGAGTAATTCTGGGATTGTCTATTTTGCCATCTTGGTAATCAGAAATGTCCAATTATTAGTTAAATTTTAAATTTTCAAAAATCACAAATTCTTGTAAGCTAGTTTCTTTCAGGCATTGATGCTGTACGTATTAAACAACTGCATTACTTTATATTTGTTGGTGTCTTTTAAGGCCAAAAAGTGTGTGACACATCCTTTCAAGGTCATAAAGTGGTGAAGGCTACCTAGTAGCCTTATCTAGGGAATATACTTAGTTAAACTCACTGTTTACTATTGATTAAAAGACCCAGATTTAGTAAAGTTATATTAGCTTGTAGATTTCTGCCCAGTGGAATGGATAACCCCAAAAGTTATGGCTTATTGTCCTGTACCTAATCCATAAATATTACCCTAAAATGTCCTTGTTAAATTGCATATCTATATGAATATAGATATATAGATATAGTTATAGATATATAGAAGTAGATAGATAAATAGATAGCTTCTCAATTTTTCTTTGAACCATTTTAACATCTTACTGGTTCCTTGTAAGTTGATATGTATTCATTTCATATTTGTATGAAAGTCATAATTTTATCTTTTTGAAAATTATACTTTCATACTAAGAATCAAGTCAGTTGCTTTACCTTTATGCCTTCTGGTCCTGGTTCACCTGGGTAACCCTTTTGACCCAGTTTTCCCTAAAAGAGAACAGAATAAATGAAACAAGAGATATGTTTAGTCATTATCATAGTGAAAGTTTCCTAAGGTTTATAAAATTTAGACTATTCTTATCAAATGAAACATTCCTAAGTTATTTGATGAATATATTTTACCATATTTATTAGCCATTTGATTGACAAATATTTGACTGTCTGCTATGTGCCATGCACAGTTCTAGGTGCTGAGGACTGAGGAGTGATGGAAACAGCTGCCCTCACAGAGCTTACATTTTAGTGAGGATGACAAAATTAAAAATAAATAAATAAATAAAAATATAGTATGTTAGGTAGCATAAATATGAAGAATAAAAACTGAAGTAGGGAAGGGAGGTATAAAATGTCATAGGAGATTTGTTAAAATTTGATAAGATTTTTAGGGAAGAAGAACTCACTAAAAAGGTGGCATTTGAGTAAAGGCTTAAAGAAAAGGACAAGTTATATGGATATCTGAATGATACTCTGCTTCCAGGCAGAGGAAAAGAGCATGTGGCAAAGGCACTATAGTGGGAATGTGCATGGTGCATTGGAAGAACCGTGAGGAGTCAATGCAGCTGGAGAAGAATTAAGAGAGGAGAGGATCAGTAAGGAGATGAGGTCAAAGAAAGTAACGGGGGACAGGAAGCCAGGTCATGTAGGGACTTGTAGGTTACCGAAGGACTCTGGCTTGCACTCTGAATGAGAAAGAAAGCCTGAGACAAGCTTTGAGAAGAAAACTGATATTTATGTTTTCACAGGATCACTTTGATGCAAGAGCAGAAGCAGGGAGTCTAAAGAGGAGTGTACTGCAATAATCCAAATGAGAGACAATGGCTATAGATCAGGGTGGTTGCAGACGAGGCTGTGAGAAGTGGTAAGATTCTAGATATAGTTGGAAGGTAGAACATCCAGGAACCAGGGGTGTGTCATGTATGCAATGTGGGAGGAAGAGGAGAATCAAGAATAAATTCAATTATTATTATTATTGTTATTACTATTGACTATATGTATTTGTGGGGTACAGAATCAATACCAATTCATGTGCAGAATATGTAGTGATCAAATCAGGATAATTAGCATATTTTTAAATCTGAGTAACTGGCCAAATAAAATGAGAAAACTGCAAGAATAACACCTTTGGAGGGTAAATTAGAAGCTGAGTTTTGGACATTTTAGTTTGATATGCTTGTTACACATCTAAGTGGAGAGCTCTTGTGGTAGTTGTTTAAATCCAGAATGCAGAGGGGATAAAGGTTACGATCTGAAGAAATCATCAATACTTTGGAAATCATTGTATATTTTGATGATATTTAAAGCTACAAGACTGATGAGATCATCTAGGCAGTGAGTGTAGATAGAAAATAAAAGAATTCCACAGACCAAAACTTGAGGCACTTCAAAATTTGGAATTTGAAGAAGTGAGGAAAATATGAGGGATCTTCAAAAAATTCATGTAAAGATTCATATTATCTTTTAATTCTATTTTTCCATGAATTTTGAAGCACCCTTGTATGAAATTTGATGCCAGAGAGTTAGGAGGAAAATCATGCAAGTGAAGGACATTTTTCTAGGAGGAGAGAGTGATCTTGTCAAATTCTGAAAGAGATGAGTGTTGGGCTATATGAAGATTATGAGGATTGAGAGGCGACCACTAGATTCAGCAACACAGAGGCCACCGATGCCCTTTGTAAGATCATTTGTATTAGAGTGGTAGGGACAAAAGTGGTTTAAGCAGGTAGAAGAAGGAGAAAAATTGGAACGAGCATGTAATAGACAATACTTTTGAGGGGTTTTACTGAAAAGGGACAGAGAGAAATGAGGTAACACATGGAGAGGAAACTGGGATCAATATAGGTTTTCTTATTTTTTTTCTTTTAAGCTGGAAGAAATAGTAGCAGGTTTATATGCTAATAGGACTGATCCAGTAGAGAGAAAATAATTAAGATACAGAAGACAGAGGGAAGAATTGCTGGACCAGTCTTCTTGAATAGGCTAGAGGACAAAGTACATAGGGAACAAGTGGAAGTTTTGACCTGAGCTAGAAAAATGGCCTGTTCATTCACAATAGCAGGAGGAGAGAAGGCAGAGTGAATGGGTATGGAAATAGAATTCAGAATGTAATCAAAGGGATAATTATAAAGTTTCAAGCAGGATGAGGAGGGATGTAGGGTCTTGAGGGAGATAAGGACAATGGAAAAAGAATAGGATCAATTGATTAAATTCCTACTGGGACTGTTAGACTGGGTTACAAGTGAGAATATATTAGAAAGAAAGATGGTGGCTGGGGAGGCAGAAGTTTGAAATTGAGAATAAGAAGAGGTTGCTGATACTGATAATGACAAGGTATAGGGAATGGCCACAGCATCAAGGAGCTCACTGAAGACAAGGGAGGCAATATCCTCGATACTGGGTGGATTAACCAACAGGACAGAGATTCTAATATCAAACAACTGATATTGATTATAGAGAGACCACTATGCTTCAACCAATGAGTGTGGCAAATTCAAATCTAGGAGGAGAAAAAGGAGGGGGTGGGGAGAGTGCGAAATAGAACACTCATTTATAGTATTTATTAGGCATTATACATGTGGATTTTATTATTGCTGTCCATTAACAAATACGCTCATACTTTCCTTTCTTAAATAAAGTAAAACAAAACTATCCTCTGGCTCTCATTCTGTTTTCACCACATATAAAAGCTTTTGCAACTTAAAATTATATTCAGGACTTCTGGCCAAAAGGTTGTTCTAATGTTCTGCCTTGCATGAAATTATCTAATGGTTTGCTAACAAGAACTAAAAAGCAGTGCAAAGAACTGAAAATCATCCTATTATTGTTAAATATTGATTGCTGTCTAATTAATTTGGAGAAATAGGACAAGAAATCTAATTAAGAGTCCAAATTATTAGATTTGTCTATGATGTTTATAAGAAAATTTCAGTAACCCATTATTATTTACACTGGTTGGAAAGAGCCTTAACAAGAATATCCTTTTCATCTGTAATAATGTAATACTCACTTAGGTACTGTATAAATAGTTTTACATTGTATCTACATTATAGAAAGAACCTCATTGGAATCTGATACCAGCATATTATAATTTCTGTAAAGTCAAGCAATTCAGAGCATCACTAATGAAGTCTTAACTTGTCCTAGTTAAATTCTGTCATATTCATTTGATTTTGAGAGTGTTATACATGAGCATGTAATATTGAAACCTTATTTTCACATCTAAAAAATGGGGACAATATCTTACAGAGTTATTTTTAGGATGATTCATGGGACATACTTACAGCAATACTAGACCCCAAATGGATCTTCAATCAATAGTAGCAACAATAATAATAAATATTAAGAATGAGTAGACATGAGGTGAATATAGTTCTGTTTTCTAGGGAAGTACATTTTAAATAAGATCAATTTTACTGGGCTCAATAACAGGTTTTTTATTATATAACTCTCCTTGCAAGAAATAAAATAAAAACTTTCTTTTGATGGGAAGTACCAGTATATGTGCTAATGAGGTAAAGGTACAAAAGAAATAATTACTGTCTCTTTAAATGTAAAAATGTTTTAAGAGCTTGTACTTCGTGATGTTCTCAAGAAAACAGAATGAGACATACTTCTCATGAGTCTAACTAATGCCTCTTAAAATAAACGTAACATATACGCCTTAATTACTTCATGATAATGAAAACTTTGGTTATGCATACCAAAAACACTTAAAGAATGCATTTTCAGAACTTGAAAACAAATAATTCATATATTACCACATGGTATTATCTGACCAAAAAATGGCAGAAAATACATCTTATTAGCTTTGCACATTTTTACTGATACTCTCAGAAAGTAGGAATTCCCAGAGTATTACTAAAATGGCTAAAGTATATCACATTTTGAGAAACTTATAAATAATTTGCATAAATTACTAAGACCATAAGGCCACTTAAAAAACAAGCAAACATTTAGTGGGCATAATATCATTAAAAATACCCCTGGAGAATTCCAGTTATTGGCCTATTTTATTTGGGGGAATTTTATTACTATAGTTATATGGCTATAATTTTAAATTTTTGCCCTTTGCTATAACTTAAAATGTTATACTATTAAACATATTTACAGAACAGCTGTTTTTAAGAGAAGCACTTGTGGAAAATTATTTAGATGAAACGTACTCTTGGCCCCAGTTCTCCAAAGGGTCCAATTGGTCCTTCTTCTCCCTTTAAAAAAAAAAAAAGAACAGAACATATCATGGCCTAAAATAAGTATCTAAAAATGTAAACCATTATTCTCCCTATTTATTCTAAATCTGAAACCCATTCTGAGATGACAAAAATAATGCTGTGGTTTTTTTTTTAGATTTTAGGACTGCATTACTCCATAACACTGTAATGTTTTGTGGGACAATCCCATATCTACCCTAAAAGAGACATGTGCTATTGGATTATTTTTAAATTGGTAGATGATACAAGTTATATAGAAAATGAGGAATGGAGAAGAGTGAAAGTGATTAGGGTAGTACAAAACCAGGATTGGGAATCACTTAAAAAGAAACTCAACCAAGTTCTCAATAGACGGAAATCAATACACACTGGTGTACTAAAAAATTACTTATACAGAACATGTTTAGTCTAGGCACATTTTGATACTTCATTCAGTCAATAAATATGTTTTCGAGTCTTAGTTTTGCCTTAAGCCCTACAGACATAAAGGTATATCAGATCCTACCTAAATGAGGCTTAATGTTTAGAGTTTATTCTTGACTAACTTACAGGACCAATATTCTTGGGGTCAAATCAGCCATAAGTCATAAATTATTAAAAAATAGGTGCATTCTTATAAGCCTCAACAACTATATGGGTGGATAGAGACTGAGGATTAACATAGATAAAAATAAAGAATTTTTATCCATTATTCTCTAAGAGAATAAAAAAGTAATAAATGTTTTCACTCCATTTATAGACATATTTACTAAATATACTGATTTCTTTATCTTTAAATAAATAGTTCATGTTACAACATTAATAGGCTTTCCTAGAAGCATGTATTATATCTTATTGATTTGATAAACATTCTTCCTTAATTTATAATTCAATTAAACTATAATTTATTGGGCCACAAATAAAAAATAGTCATAAATAGTAAATATAAATTGTAGAACATATGAATGAGACTCTGAGTTCAGATTCTTCAGAAATTCCACTGGAAACCACTGACATAAACCACTTCATAAGTTCAGAGCACTGTAAAGTGATTCCAAATTCTATTCTATAACTGCCAATATAAAATAGCTCAGAATCTTCTATAGCAAAAATTGTCCACACTAAGGCAATGTTTTCTTTAAGCAAAAACTGAAGTCCCACAAAAAATAAAAAGGGAAAACATGAACTAAAACAATGCTGGTCATAAATTAATTTCCTCCATACCTGAGTTCCTTTGAGACCAGGAGGTCCAGGAGGCCCTCTATTTCCAAGTAGTCCCTGTAAATGCAATACGAACACACTCAATAAAAATTTTAGATCAATTAACATTTTGATCACTATTCATCTGGAGATAGACAATACTATTTGGTACCATTTATTTCTCACTAAGAAGTTATGAAAATGGGGTGGGAAGAAAACTACAGGACACCTAAAAAGTTGGGAAACATAGGATAAACATATTTAAACCATCTGTTAGTGTTCAAACAATCTGCTCAGTATGGTATTCTTCAATCTCCAGACACCTTTCCAGAGAAAATATTTCTAAACTTAAGGCAATGGGTCCAATTCTTAATGTGACAATAACTTTATTTCTCACTAAGAAGTTATGAAAATGGGGTGGGAAGAAAACTACAGGACACCTAAAAAATTGGGAAACATAGGATAAACATATTTAAACCATCTGTTAGTGTTCAAACAATCTGCTCAGTATGGTATTCTTCAATCTCCAGACACTTTTCCAGAGAAAATATTTCTAAACTTAAGGCAATGGGTCCAATTCTTAATGTGACAATAATACAATAAATAGTACAAGAAAGAGTGTCCACAAAGTCTGAAAACAGATGGGGAAGATAAATAGTGTTTTACTATCTGTTAAGAGACCAGAAGAATCTGGAACTCTTTATTTGTACTAAATGTTGTTCAATTTATATCCCTTCTTGATACAAGCTGGTAAAAAAGAAGCACAATTTGTAGAAAAAAAGCAACAGTCTGAATTTGACTACGAATTTCAAGACTATAAAAAATCCTTTGTTAAACAAAATGCATGTTAAAAATCAATTGCTCTCTGAATGAAAACCCATTCAAAATAACAATAAAAAAATTTTTCCTAGTTCAGAAAACATCATAAAACATTTATTTAACATGACAACATTTTCTCAATAAGTTCTGTTCTCCTAACAATGCGATATGCTGGCAAAGTTTTAAGTAAATCTTTTTTAAGAATTGTATTCCGCATGACTGTTTTTAGTGATTCTACAACCTGTTTTATCTAATTTTTAACTGCAGTAAATAATTATACCAAAGAGCAAATCTACTCAGGTGACTTTGATCATTAGGGATGAAATGCAGTGCAGTGACTGCATG